CACGCCTTTCTTCCTTTCCCCCGGGGAGAAAGAGGACGTGGGGGATGGAAAGCTAGGAGAGCGACCGCAAGCGAGCGACTGGGAGACCGGGTTGGGGGCGTGGCCAGCCAGGAGTCGCCACCGGTTCGACAACCCACGCCAAATAACCACTACCAGTTCACCTGAGTAGGTGCGCACCGGTTGAATACCACCTCTGAGTCCATGATGGTTTGTATTTTCAGGAAATTCTGCCTTAATTCTCGGCTGGTTCTCTCCTTGATGAGTTTCCATCCATTGCTTCTTGTCCTTCTTGAAGTTACAACAGTGGTGAAGGAAAGGACTTAACCATCTATGAGACTTTTCTGATCAGCGGTTTTGGCTTAAGGATGGAAAAAGTTTGAGAAGCCCTACGCAAAGTCATCTGTTTGTCTCCAGAACAGAAGAATTCCTATCAGTCTTCCTGCAGCTTTCCCTCGACTTACGTCCAGCTGGACCTGTTTTTCTCTTTTTCTGTCTCTTTTCTCCCCCCTCTCTCTTCCCCCGGGCTGCCTGCAATCAGAGCAATTGCCCATCGCACAGCAGCCATTCATTTAGCTTTCATCTCGGTTCCCATTTAAAAGCAACAAAAAATGATTGAAGAGCCAGAAGAGAGTCAGCCATCAGGCCAGATTAGCAGGGCTAAATACCAAAAAGCTTATCTTTGGGGGAGGGGGAGGAAAGGGGGGCCAGGACCAAACAATAGGTCACTATCTCACAAGGAGAGAGCATCCTGCACCAGCATATGGGCCCACAGCCCTGTGCTGTTGTTCTGGCCAGCCTGGTACACCCACTGCGGCCTATCGCTTGTGCTGTGTGTATATGGGCAGAAAGATAAATAGAACTGATGCCAAAAGACAGGAAAGAGGGGAAGCTCAGGTTGCATAGGTAGAAGCAACGGGTGGAAACTAATCAAGGAGAGAAGCAATGTAGAACTAAGAGAAAATTCCTGACAGTTAGAACAATTGATCAGTGGAACAACTTGCCTCCAGAAGTTGTAAATGCTCCAACACTGGAAGTTTTAAAGAAAAGATTGGATAACCGATCGTCTGAAATAGTATACGATCTCCTGCCTGAGCAGGAGGTTGGATTAGAAGACTTCCAAGGACGCTACCAATTCTATTATGATCCTATTCTATTCTAAATAGCGGGAGAAATCAAGAAAGATCAAAAGGTTGCGTAGGACTCTTGAAGCATTCCCCAGCATCCTCTCTTCCCATGGTACCACTTCGGATTGCCAGTCCTTGGTGGATCCTCCAGATGTGTAGAAGGTGATTCAGTTATGAAGGAGGCCCTTTCTAAATACAGGTAGCACTGATTTGCAGTCAATGTTGATTGTTAATGACAGTTCACAGTTACAGTAGGCCTTATGACTTTGTGATTTGCTTAATGGCGGTGGCAAAAAAAAAACAACGTTGTAGAAACAGGTGCAACTCACTTAGCAACAGAAATTCTGGTCCCTATTGTGGTCGCAAGTGGAGGACTACCAGTGCAATTGCATAGATGCAAATACAGGAATGCATGGAAGCATATCCTGCCCTATTGTACCCCTTGAATAGTATATTTTTCCCTTGACCCCATGTCCACCCCTCCTTCAATCTTCTCCAAACAAAGGCTTTGGTGGTGGGGTTGATTTTTAAGTGTCCATTCCTATTCTAGAGAAATGCATTCTTACATGGAATTTGGAGTAATTTGACACAAAATGGGACACCTCTCCATGGTTAACTCTCTGCGACCATCTCACCATGGCCAACTTGCTGCAGCCGCCTTGCTGTGACCAACTTGCTATGGGAAAACTCACCACAAGATAACTTTGTTAGGAATGTAAGTCACCTAACAGTTGGGTTGGAAAATATATTTACCAGGATAGGCATTTTACTACTGTCTCTTTAAGGGAATGCTAAAATTGTAATTGTGGTTCCTCAAAGGGCCATAAGATGGAGCCAGAAACCTGGGTTGTTCTGTCCTGTTCTGGAGAGTGTTGCCGTTCCTGCGGTAACTATTGATTGTTGCTGATCATGGTTAGTCTTGGATTGATGTGAGTCTGTTACTGAACTGGTTTTGATACTGGATTTTGTTATTCGGATTATCCCTGGACTGAAAACTGACTGCTTTAATCGTGAATGACTTGGACTGTGTTTGGACTTTGCTTAACCGTTTACTGGAAGTAAAACCTACATTTTACTATACAGTGTAGCTGTGTGCTCTTTGTGTGTTATTCTTCACCACTCTCTCACAACGTCTCCCTGTGTGCGCTCATTCTCCTAACGGGGAATTACACCAACAAACTCCACACAGGATAACTCAATGTGATAAATATTATCTGCCACCGTTTCTTTAACATTATTTCCATTGACAAAAAAATGGAAATAATATAGTAAAAACAGTGGTGAATAACATTTGTGGCACTGAGTTATCTCCCGTGGATTGTCGCCTGGCGCACTATCCTGTAGTGAGTTGACCATAGCAGTTTGTCCCAAAGCAAGTTGAATGAGGCAAGATGGCTGTGGCAAGTTAGCTGTGGCAAGATGGCCGTGACAAGATAGCTGTGTTAAGTTGGCCACGCTGAGTTGTCCTAGGCCCGTTTGAAATTGGAGACAGAACAATGGCCGATAACCTGCTTCCCATCTCTCTTTCCCACATTGTTCATTCAATGTATTCTTTTTGCCGTGCCTCCATTCCCCATTAAGCTGCAGTTTTTTTTAAAAAAAAATCCATACATAAATGAATATATTAAAATATATTTTATTCCCCCCAGTACAAAATTCAATAAGTACCTTTCTAAAAAATACACGCTTTGATTTTTAAAAAAATATAGATAAAAATATCATTGGAACATTTAGGACAAGTCAGAATTAGCCAAACGTTCGTTTGCATCTTCATTCAAATGGTGGGCATTCTGCTCCGTTTGCAATACTATTTGCAATGCTGCCATCTTAGCCCCATTTCTCCAGGGACATGAACCACCCTTGTGTCATGATAAAACTTCAATGCAACAAATAACAGAACCAGAGCCAGGGAGCTTTCTCCACACCAATAATGCTGCTAGACTTAAATACATTTATTTGAGATTTACTTCCAAGTCAAGATGGTTAAACTGAATTATGGATCTGAACTTTTCATTTGCTGCTTTCTCCTGGGTGCGTATAACTTGGCGTGTTTTTCTTTGTTGCTGGGAGCTATTATATTTTGTAGAACCATGTTTCTCAACCTCAACCAATTTAAGCTCTGTGGGACTACAACTCCCAGAATTGAAGCACCTGGCAACCAGCACCCATTTACCAGGGTTGCAACTTTCTGGGGTCATGTGGTTGCTGTTAAGTAATCTTCCCAGCTGGCTTCCAACAAGCACCATCAATGGGGAAAGACTTGTGATTCACAACTGTAGTGATTTCCTTAACAATGTGGCAAAAAAAGGTTTTTAAACAGGATATAATTCACTTAACAACTGCCTTACTTAGCAACGGAAACTCCGGTCAAAATTTGGGGTGTAAATTGAGTATTGGTACTTCCGATGGGCCCCTGTCCATCCCTTCCCATCGTGCCAATAAGCATCTTGATCATATTTGATTCTTGCATCTAATCTGGCACACGATCCCAACCGTGTTCCCACTCCTGAGCTGATTTTCCTGCTTAGTTGCCTTTCTGAGAACGTCCATTGAATGTGTTACCTTAAAACTCTTAAAACTCTACCTAGTTTTGGTACCCAGATTTTTTTGTTCTTTGTTTTTGCTTGTATCCAGGTTGGGCCTCTCCTTTCCACCTTAATTACACCACTGCGGAAGAAATTCAATAAAGGTGTACCATATTGCTCTTCAGAAACAAATAAGTACTCTCGTTAATGCCGGCGCGAGGGAACCCTAGTATTACTAAGAAAATTAAAACTGTGTTATATATTAACACAGTTTTAATTTTCTTACAACTACAGCCTCCTTTGTGCCAGCTATAAGGGGATTTGGAGTCAGTTTTACAGAACAGTAGCGCAACACGCTTATTTGATACGTCATTGTGGTTTTTCACTTTTTCTCCCCACAAAGAACTATTGAGGTTCTTGTTTGTGTGAGTTTTTGGAAACCTCTGATTGCAGGCAGTCCTTGACTTACAACAAGCTCGTTTAGTGACCATTCAAAGTTATAATGGCACTGAAAAAAGTCACTTACAAACGTTTGTCACCGTGATGACTTTTTCAGCATCCCCGTGGGTCGCAATTCAAAAATTGAGAGTCTGGGCCACTGCCTTTGTATTTATGGCCATTGCTGTGTCCCAGGATCATGGGATTGTCCCCTTTTGTGACCTTCTGACAAGCACAGTCAACGGGGAAACCAGATTCATTGAACAGCCTACATCAGGAGTGTCAAACTCTGTTAGGAAAGTCTATCAAATCTGGGCAACTTTATTTTGCATTTTATCCCAGTTAACTGGATGGTTGGGCAAAGAATGTGTCAGTTTAGAAAGAGTTAATCAACTGCACCCTCTGTTCTTTTCATACTCCAACTTTCATCCCCTCCCTCTCAGAATTTTTTCTCCTTATATGGAAGACTGGGGGGGGGGGAGGGGGCGCTCACTTTAGTGCCAGTGAGGGTTGAGTGGGGCTGTAAGAATTCATGGAAACCCCCCTGCTCAGACCATTTGGTAATCTTAGCAGTATTTCTCAACCTTGCTCATTTTAAGCAGAGTGGACTTCAACTCCCAGAATTCTCCAGCCAGCTGGCTGGGGAATTCTGGGAGTTGAAGTCCACACCTGTTGTGGTATTCAAATTGTTTTTACTACTGTGTGCGTGGCTTTGGTGGGCATGGCATGGTTTGGTGGGCATGGCAGGGGAAGAATACTGTAAAATCCCCATTCCCTCCTCACCCCACTAGCCTGCTTTCCAGCTCCGTTCTCCTGTGCAGGGCAACCAAAGAAGACCCAGCCGATCAGCTGGGATTCAGGAGGTGGAGAATAGATGGGGGGGGGACCAGTCAGAGGTGGGATTTGCCGGTTCTCTGAACTAGCCAAAATTTCCACTACTGGTTCTGCAGAACCAGTCAGAACAGGCTGAATACCACCTCTGGTCCACACCACTTCAAGCGACCAAGGTTGAGAAGCACCGACCTTAGAACTGAAGAATGGACTCCATCTTCAATTTAACAGGGAAAAAGCCAGGAAGATATATCTTTTCCAGCTCTAAAAGCACCGTCGTTTTCCCCTGGTATCCAAGAAGGGGATCTTGACTGGGTTCCAAGACAGAAACTGGGCCAGCCTCCAGCGCTGTGCTTTTGATAACAGAATGGAGAGCATTTGGCAGGTGTGTGCAGCCTCAGAATATAAGCAGCTTCGTGGGATAAAATGGTTTTGGAAAAGTAAGGCACATCTCAATCCAACTACAGCCATATCCTTCCCTACCTGCCACTGTATCCAAGCCCTTCCCCTGTAAGATCTACGGTCTCGTTTTACGTTGTACGTTGTCCTTGGCTGCAAAGCGAGCTTTAGGGATTCTAACACACCATCCATTCCAGCAGCTCTCGTCTGGAAGACTTATCAGAGGCCAGCGAATTAGGTTGCCTTGCAGTGTGCTCTGTTCTAAAAGCTGCATGGGAAATCTCAGCATCCAAAACCTAATTGTCTAAATTTTGAGGATGCAAAATGCAGCTTCTTGGAGGACTAAGGTTGCTGGTTCTTAGCTAGGTGAGTCAGATTTCCAGCCAATAATGTTGAAGTTCACATCGCAGACGGGTGAGCCCCATCTGTCGGTTTTTAAGGAAGCTAGGAGCAGAAGGCACAAATCCATCTCAGCATCTCAGCATCCCATTTCAATGACTATAACCGCCTGGATGTCATCTTCACAAGTTCCATTTTAGTGACTATAAACGGCTGGGTGTCATTTTCACAAATTCCATTTTAGTGACTATAAACGGCTGGGTGCAATCTTCACAAGTCCCATTTCAGTGACCATAACCAGCTGGGTGTCATCTTCACAAGTCCCATTTTAAAGATCAAATCTGGCTGGGTGTGATCTTCCCCATTTCAGACCTGGGTAGCATTCCGCACAGTCCTGATGCCAGGTCGTACAGCTGGAGAAGAGGAAGTGCCTTCCCTGACACCGATAGGCTGGGTGGAACCAGGAAAAGAGAAATAACAGTATCATTAGCAAACTGTTCAGAATGGAGATAGAAACAAAACGTTGTTCTTGACTACCCCTTCTTTTCAGGGGAGCTTGGTGGAGGAATATGGGTGGGCTGCTAAGGGGGCGCATGGGTTCGGATGAACCCTCAGTCTGTTCTTTATTTCTGCAGGTTTGAAGCTCAACTGAGGTGCAGCACACCGGATTACCGCACCTCAGCTATTTTACTCACTGGCGTTGAAGTGGAAAGTAAGTTGTAAAGCTGTAAAATGGTGGATTTGTAATGTTCTGGGCATGCACAGAGCGTGCGCTGACCAAACCAGTTGTGAAACCGGTAGAAGCCCACCACTGTGGAGGAAGGCTATCGCTGTGGAGAAGTGACCTGTCACGATTCCAGCAGTTACCCCCAATTAAATCATGAGTCTCGAGCCAAACTTCCAAAACTTAAAAAGGATTTATTGAGAGTTAACATGTCAAGCACTGCCTGGTTGTAGCTGACTCTGAGACACATAATTCATTGTCACCCTTGACCCTGGTTCCCCACCCCCACCCCCGGGTGGATTGTAATTCATATTCCCCAATGGGACAAATCCATAGCCAAGAGTCATCAATCAAGCTCTCCAGTTAGAATTTTGCACAGCAGAAACTTCAGTTACCTAGTTACTATCTTTGAAAACTATTTATGGAATGCACTTTCGATTTCCAAGCTGCCACTTCCCCCCCCACATCCCCTGCTCCCTTTCTATTGGCAACTCTAAAAAGACCATAGAAATATTTTATGAGTTGCCATGATCACTGTAACTGGTCTGAGTGACTACCATCCAAACACTGAGAGCACCCAAGTGTTGATACAAGTTTGAAGGCGAGGTCCGTTTTACTCAGAAAAAAATTGAATAATTTTATGAGGAGCTGAAATTGCTTCTGTAAAAAGTTGCAGTATTTCTCAGCAAGGTTTTTAAAATCTCTAACCGAGGCATGCTAGTTCTCAGATTTTGTCATTGGCTCAGTGAACCAGGGAAAAACCAGTTTAAGTTAAAAGGCAGGCTTGTCATTCAGATATGGCGTGGGGGAAGAAAGAAGGGAAAAGAAAGAGGGGGAAAGAAAGAGAAAAGAGGAAGGGTGAGGAAAGTTGGAAGGGGAGAGCAGTACAAGGGACCTGTAGTATTGGAAACAGTGTCAGCTCCAACAGCAATTTATTTAAGGCAATATTAGTAAAGGTAGAGGTTCCCCTCGCACATACGTGCTAGTCGTTTCCGGCTCTTGGGGGCGATGCTCATCTCCGTTACAAAGCCGAAGAGCCAGCGCTGTCCAAAGACGTCTCTGTGGTCATGTGGCCAGCATGACTAAATGCCCAAAGGCACACAGAATGCTGTTACCTTCCCACCAAAGGGGTCCCCTATTATTCTACTTGCATTTTTACATGCTTTCGAACTGCTAGGTTAGCAGTAGGTGGGACAAGTAACGGGAGCTCACTTGATTACACTAGGGATTCGAACCGACGAACTGCTGACCTTTCTGATTGACAAGCTCAGTGTCTTACCCACTGAGCCACCGCGTCCCTCTGAAGGCAATATTGGGGGAGCGGGGGGAGGCTGCAAAACCCCATCATCTTTACCAGGCATGACAACAAGATCTCTCTCCCAGAAAAATCAAATCAAATCAGAAGATATTGGTTTGCAGTGCTTGGTTTCTCCGTGTAGGATTAGGAGAGTGTTTGGAATTAATTTGTGTACAGAATAAATGAGAAATAAGGGGAATAGTATTTGGAGAATAAAACAGAAATTCCTCATTATAGCCTGTGCTGGTCAAAGACACTGAGAACACACCAAGGATCACCAGGGAATCTGAATAGGAAATGGTCTTCTTGCAACCAGATCTAAGCTGTTATTCCATTGCAAAATGCTTCTTACTCCCTGACTTACCAAGGTGACTGGGCTGAGATGTCTGTGCAGATGTTCCTCATAGGTGATGGCGTAGATGTCTGAGTCTCCAGATGACCATCGAGGGTTATCCCAAGAGTCACTTGACTCAACTTTCTTCCCATTTGGGAACTAAAACCACGTGGAAAAAAAGCAAAGAAAGAAAGAGACTTTGAATATTAGATATTAGATTAACAGAGTTGGAAGGGACCTTGTAGGTCATCTAGTCCAACCTCCACCGCTAAGCAGGAGACCCTACACCATTTTTGACAAATGGCAGTCCAGTCTCTTCTTGAAAGTCTCAAGTGATGGCGCTCCCACAACTTCCAAGAGCAACTTCTGTTCCATGGGATGATTGTTCTCACTGACAGAAAATGTCTCCTTATTTCCAGGTTGAATCTCTCCTTGATCAGTTTCCATCCATTATTCCTTGTCTGGCCTTCGGGTGCCTTGGAAAATAGCTTGACACCCTCAAATATTGGAACACTGCTATCCTGTCTCCCCTAATTTACTTGGACTTCAGTAACGCATTTGATAAAGTAGACCAAACCTACTACTACATAGAGTATCAATGTATCCAAGTCACTCTGCACATCCTAGAAGGTTGTCTTGTCTTGTCTACGTTTGGTCTTCTGCCTAGTCGTACCGCTTAATGGTTAATGCAAGACTGATGAACATTCAACACTTTATTTGTTGACCCTGATATGATAATTGTGTGCAGGTAGACCTCAATTTATCAGTTCAATTTGTGACCATTCAAAGTCACAATGGCACTGAAAAAAAATATGACTGTTTGCAGCACCCTGTGATCAGGTGACCACGAGTTACTACATTTTTACTGTTCACTTCTGGTTTCCGGCAAATGTACTCCATAGCAAACAATGGGCTCAATGAATGACCGTGGCATTAAACAAAAAAGTCAAGCTATTCTCCAAAGCTCCAAAGACAAGAAGCCATGGGTGGAAACTAATCAAGGAGAGAAGCAACCTAGAACTAAGGAGAAATTTCCTGATAATTACAACAATTAATCAGTGGAACAACTTATCACCAGAAGTTGTAAATGCTCCAACACTGGAGGTTTTTAAGAAGAGATCGGACAACCATTGGTCTGAAATGGTATAGGGTTTCCTGCCTAAGCAGGGGGTTGGACTAGAAGACCTCTAAAGTCCCTTCCAACTCTGTTTATTCTATTCTATTCTATTCTATTCTATTCTATTCTATTCCATTCCATTTCTTAATAACCATGGCAATAAAAAGTAATAAGGTTGAATTGGTCACCTGACGAGCCAGTTTATGACTGTCACAACTTAACAGCTGAAACTGCGGCTCAACTAGAGACGTAATTCGAGGACTACCTGTGCAGGAAGCCCTTCCCCTTTCTTTCCTGGGCAAATCTTCACTACAATCTCTGTGCTTGGAGAGTCAATTCCACTTGAGCGCTTTGATCAACAGCCTCTTTCTACCTGGAAGACCGAGCGGTTATAAATGGGCATTTCCCAGTGAGTTTCACAGAGCAACAATCTGCCATTTTTCAGACTGCCTCCAGTCTCTCATTATGCTCCCATCACTTTGGGTCTCACCTGGCGTGACAGATAGTGGTGTTGATTCTCTGGTGGCGTGGGTGGAGCTTTCTTCTTTGCTACAAGGAGTAAGGCAGATAAAACATCACTGTGACTTTGCAGTGAGAACGAGTTGTTTCCCCTTTCCATTAAAAACACGGGGAATGAAAACCCTTGACTTACAAACAGTTCATTTAGTGATGCTTCGAAATGACAATGGCACTGAAAGAAGCGACTTACGGCTGTTTCCCACACTTATAACCCAGTGAGGGGTTCAAATTGTTTTATCACCAGTTTGGTGGGCATGGCTTGGTGGGGTACTTTGCCTAATGGCAGTGCGCAGATTTCTCCCATACCAGCTGAGACCTGCAGCGCCAATCAGCTGAGAGGATAAAGAAGCGCAGGAGTGGGTAGGAAGGCCGATCCTGCACTTTTCTCTTCTTTCTCCTCTCAGCTGATTGTCGAGGATTTTTATTCCTCCTCTCAGCTGATCATCGGCTTTTTATTACTACCGGTTCAGTAGAACCGGTCAGAACCGGTAGCTTACCACCATTGTTACAACCGTTTGCAGTATCTCTGGGGTCACCTGAATAAAATTCAGATGTTTGGCAACCAACTCATAATAACGACATTGCAAAGTCCCGGGGTCGTGTCATCACCTTGTTGCACCCTTCTTATAAACAAAGCCCATGGGGAAGCCAGATTCACTTAACAATCGTGTTACTGACTTAATTTAGCTGCAGCGATCTGCTTAACAACGGTGACGAGAGAGGTCTGAGGTAAAATTCACTGAACAAATGTTTCGCTGAGCAACAAAAATTTGGGGCTCAATTGTGGTCGTAAGCTGAGGACTATCTCTAGCGTTACGAGGCGTCTTTTAAGAGGTGGCTTCTGTGTGACCTGGCTTCCATTTTAAAACTAATTTTCAGCAGAAGAGGCTGGGCTTGGTTTAATCCAAGATGAAACAGCAGCTTCCATTTTGAATCTAATTGCCAAAACGTGTGTGTGTGTGTGTGTGTGTGTCAAAGAACTGAACCAAACTGAATTAAACTGGTTAGTTATGGCTGCCTACACCAGACGAATCAGCGTAGCTTCCAAAATATCACCCTCCCACAAGAAACAAAGGGTTTAAACCAGGGGTGTCCAACCTTGGCAACTTTAAGACTTGTGGACTTCAACTTCAAAGCTGGCTGAGGAATTCTGGGAGTTGAAGTCCACAAGTCTTAAAGTTGCCAAGGTTGGACACCCCTGGTTTAAACCCACATAAACCCATATCTAGAGCTGTAAACAGTACTAAACAAAGAAACACCCATCAGGGAAGCCGCCAATATATAACCACAGTTAACCACAGGCCTGGGAGAAGAGTCAAGAGCTTTACCGAACCCAGGAGAATGGCTACCCTCTCATATCTTGTGGTAGGGATGGATGAGGACATGCGCTTCCAGAGAAAGAGGTCCATGATATAGAACAGGGGATCAAACTCAAAGCCCATGGGCCTTGCAGTGTGCTTAGAGCTGGAAAAAGCGAAGGACCAGCGCACGGGGCCTCTGCCAGAGAAAATGAAGACCAGGGGAGCCACACCATTTTCACGGGTAGAGGGTTGCAGAAAGGCATCGCAGCCAAAAATGGGGCCCGGGGGTTATGCCCCACCCCGGCCTCTGTTTTCATTGGCAGAAGGGCTAGCAAAAGATACCAAAAGCAAAGCAAAACAAAAGGAGAAGTGTTTCCCCTTTTGCATCTGAGTGTGCAAGAAGGGCCAGGAAAGGAGAAAGGGGTAGAGAAAAGACAAAGAAAAAGAAGGAAAGATGGGAAGAGAATAATGAAGGAAAAAGAAGGAAAGAGGGGAAGGAAGAAGGAAGGAGAAGGAAGAGGGAAGGAAAAAGAAGAAAAGGAAGGAAGGTGGGAGGGAAGGAAGGAAGGAAGGATGGAAAGAAAGAAAGAAGGAAGGAAGGAAGGAAGGAAGGAAGGAAGGAAGGAAGGAAAGAAAGAAAGAAAGAAAGAAAGAAAGAAAGAAAGAAAGAAAGAA